ATTTAAGGGCCACATCTAGCGCATTTTTTACGCAGCTATGTATAGACGACAGGCCGAAAGTCACTCTAGAGCCGCTATTGGCTATTTCAAGAGGATGAGTTGGAAGGCATCCACTTTGAGTAGCATGAGCCGGGGTTATCTTGGTAGTTCAGGAACTGAAGACAAAGGTGGGAAAATAACGCCAGGCGCCATCGAGTGAGGGAACAAGTGTGATAAACACGCTAACACGGCCGTTGAATCTGTATGGAGCCTCGCCAAGGTCATCTTGTTAGTTCGAGGCTGGAAAGTGACAGGGTCTGCCTGTTCTACTAACACCACAGACTGTGTGGTATTTTAAGACTTCTGCTCTGCTAACGTGAACTTGCAAATATCTGAAGATAGGATCCGTCTGCTCCTCCTCCTCCCTCAAGCACTGGACAAACCAGCCAGTCAGACTGACGGGCTTGTTAGAGCTGCATTCCCAAACAACTCGACTCGTCGAAGGAGCTTCACACGGGCGAGACCGGGACTTTGGACCCAAATAGGGGCGTGCTATGTGTGACAAGTCAATAAAAGCAAATTTCTCAGTTTTCATATGGCCACAGCGAATGCTCAGCAGTTGACACTCGGCCACATGCGCCCTACAACATACGCCCTAGTGCAAGTTACAGACAGAAAATCAGAACCAGCAACATCTCCTCCCCTCCCCATCAAAAACCCTCCGAGTGCTAGGGGCTCATCGGGCTTTCTCGGTTCTAGTTGGTATCCAACAAAATGATGTAGATGTTTTTGAAGAAACGGTGTATTGAGCATTATCCTTGCTTTCATTGTTGGGTGGCTTGTGAAACTATCGACCAGCAGTTGTGATTCTGTCGGATCTTCACTGAAGGTAATTTCCGTCGATAATTAACCAACAACATAGTGATAAAAAAGCGCTTCACATATCATGATTGTACTGTACATCTCCAAGCCGCAACGGGCATGGGAAACCAGACTGTATCCCACATCAGGGAATCGTTACATATCCGGAGATGTGTTGGCGCGCGTCAAGGGAAACACTCAATTTTCTCAGAGGGTGACTTGACACCTGTGATGACCATACCATGTGGCAGATATGAAACAATATCGGCTCGTCAGATTTCAATTAGAAGGAAAGCTCGTTCTGCAAAAATTCGGCGACGTGGAAATGGGCACAATACAACTGTTTCAGGAGTGATGGCACCGCAATCGCCCCAGCGAATTCCGCCTCCGTAATCCGGTTGTGTCATCGGCGCGGAGTGGATCTTAATTTTTCTATGGTCTATCACCTTAAAATTATGCCAATTCCAGACAATGCCATTCTACATGTTTTCCCCGTATTCCTCACTTTTCTTGTATTTTCATTTCTCCTTTTCGCTCTTTTGTTCGTTTTGATTCATGGTGTTTCTGCAACATGACGGGGTGGCTTTTCCCGGTCTCTGAACTTGAGGAAATTAATACTGGAGGACATGGATGATTGGCGTTTCCCAGCACTTCGTAGGTGTTGCAGAGTTTTCAAATTTGCTTTAACACACAGTGAACACAGTGAACTTGCTCGTCTGGTCGGGCGCTAAAGGAGCCAGCGTTGGGCGGCTGCACAAAATCTATAGTGCCATCTCTTATTTCAACAGTCGCCTTTGTATTCTCCAGTTGGATTCTTTTACTTGATTTGAGAAAATCTCTGATAAATTACTCGTAATTAGCTTATCATTTTGACATGGAGCCCCATGGCGACTGCAGTGGTTGCTCGTGCTGCCCGCCTCCTTTGTAGACATGGCAGCCTTCTTACCGGCATCCTTTCATAGCGCCCTCGTGCGTTAACATCATTTGACAATGTTCTCACAGATTCTTTTTCTTCCCAGACGACTCCCATATTCCGCCAAAACCAGAACAAAAGGGAAAGCGTACTTTCACTGCTCCAGAGTCAGTTTTGGTGATCCTGCTAACAAGAACCTGTGAAAGTACTGTACAATCAAGAATAACATTCATCTCCCGGGCTGCAAGCCTGGTTCAAAATACTCGAGAATCGGCGAGAGTACCAGTACCTTTTGAATTCGAAATCACTCGACGAACATTCTGCAGGTACGTCGACCTTTTTTCCATTGCATTCGAAACCCAAGAGTTTAATGAACGAAATGACGCTGCAGATATGTTCTACAACTCCCTTCGCTCGTAAGAGCAACAACGTGGATCGAGCTACGGACGGTGATGAAATTTTGCCTGGTCAGATGGCACGGCTAACTGGATGAAAAGTTGTCACAGGGGGGCCAGGGGGGGGGGGCGGCCACAATAATCAAGATTTGTTAACTTCCATCTCTCCTCTCTAATAACGTTCGACATTTGCATTCAGTGAATGTTTTTTCCACCAACGAAGGCTGTGAAACGGTATACCATATGCAACCACGTGTTGTGATTATTCAAGATAAATCGGCGGTTGATGTCCAAATTACCTTTTCACTAACGAGAAGCCGACGAGGAGATCCACCCCGTTGCCAATTTGACTGTGGGCCTTGGTATTGGCGTGGTAGCTAGGAGTTTAACTAACTCGCTCCGTGTATTAGCCCTATAACTATACCGCGTTTATTATTAAGGGGGGATGAAAAAAAAGAAAACCAAAACAAAAACAAAACAAAAATCGCCGGAGCTGCTAGCAGAGCGGACCAACCTCACACTTCAAATTGTGCCGAGCCATAAAAGAGCTGGCTTGCTTCTTGCGGAGGAGATAGTTGTTTATTAACAGATGGTGGAATAACCCTACGGCCTCACTTGCTCCCTCCCCGACTCACTTTTCTACACTTAGCAACAACTTCCCCCTTTCTAAAGCATGCGACATTTTGACCTTTGGCCTAGCCTCTCAAAGACTTGGATTAACATGGACATGAGCATAAATAAGCCTGAGCCTGAAGATAAACATGGGGATGAGTGGGTGGCGGTGGATGAGAGATAGTGCCACTTGAAACAGTCAAGAAATGTTTTTTATGAGTTCTAATAGAGGATTTGAGAATATGATTTTCAATTCAGCTTGGTTGAAACTTACAGATTGAAATCAGGAACTGTCATACATCATGCATTTGACTTCACTTCAACTCTTAATGGCACACCGTGCAGCAGACCTATTTGTCACACACAGTAAGTACATACATACATCGTAGTCCTCTGCCAATGAGTGCATTCTATGTAAAGATGCTTATGGTGTTTCTGACATAGGTGATATACCCAGCCAAGTGCAAAATTGTAACACATATTTAACCCTTCTTTGTTTAGCGAACTAATCTACCTAACTATCCATTGAAGTAGCTTGTTGCATTTAGGTAGAAATAACAATAAAACCGAAACAGCTAAAACCAATTCACAATTTGTTTTCAAGAGAACCTTGGGGTATTTTGGTGCATTTTATAATAGCACCTTCTCATCATCACTGACCCCAATTTTTAAAAGATAATGTGTTTGACCGTAACCCTCAACCCAATCCGGGATGTAAAATTTTCAATGCAATCGGTGTAGCTCAGCATTGTAGCCGTAGTATATGTGGAGGGGGGGGGGGGGGGAATGACGCAACGTAAAATAGTGATACCTATAAAAAAGGGCTAAATGGAAAATAATCATACAGGAGTTGATATATAGAAAAACAAGCAAAACAAGCCCCCGTTCCCCACACACAGAGCTCAATCAATGTACGGTAAATGTACTGTACCCATCCACAGCTTCATCATCCTCTAATATCCCATCCCGATAAAAAAACCCGCGCACCCTACATGCATGCGTTGTATATACACTCTACTTGGTTTCCACCCCACTCTCCCTTGTCTTTGCTCCCCCCTTCCCCCCACCCACGTTTCTCCACAGGATCTTATAAGTGAATAAATATAAAAATATAATCAAACTCCATCCCATCAAGCCCTCCGCGCCCTCCGCAGCCGCCTCTTCTTCCTCTGACAGGCATCGATCGCCTCTTCCGTAAGGATGTCTCTAGGCAGCTGGAACTCCCGCGCCGCTACTTCTGACAGCGGCTGCCCGAACGCGGTCCGCGAGCGGCCCCGTCGGATTTTCCCGACGGCGGCGTCACGGAGGTGCCGTTTCGTATAGAATGATGTAAACGGTTGGGGTTCTGGAAGGGCTGGCGGCGGTGGTGCCGGTGGTGTTGGTGAGGTGGGTGCCTGTGCGGAGATGTGTGTCGTGGCGGGGCTAAGGGTAGCGGCAGCTGGGTCAGAATCGCGACCAGTAGGGGCAGGGTAGGATGTGGATGTGGATGTAGGCGAGGAGGATGAGGGCGAAGGGGAGGAAAAAGAGGATGATGATGAAGATGAAGGAGATGTTGGTAGGGAGACATGTTCGGGACGTAGGTTGGTGTGGCGGGATGTGTTTGAGGAGGCTGAGATGGCTTCTTGATGGAGCTGGTGGGCTGCCCAGGCATCGACATCATTGATGTCTGGGGGCTCACCGTAGGTTTGGAAGTCTGGAGAAGGAGAGTTCAGGTCCCCGTTGGGTTGGGGCCTGTTACCATTTCCCCATGGGTTGGATTGGTCAACCACTTCCTGAGCTTCATCATCGTCGTGATCCTCGGCCTCGGATTCGTCTTCTTCGTTATCATCTCCTTCATCTTCACCGTCATCGACTTCGCCAGCGAGGGATTGATCTTTTTCCATCTTTCTTCGTCTTTCCTCTTCTTTCCATAATCTGAATTTCTCAATCAACGCCGACACCTCTTTGATGAAATACGCGCGTTTCGGTTCGTATAGCTTCTTTTCTGTCTCTGTGATTCCACTTATACCCATAACTCGTAGCCAGTCATGACCATGAAGCTCATCAAGTAGTCGATCCAGCTGGACCTTTTCATGCTGAGCCCTCTCTTTCTCAATATTCCGAAGCTGTTTCTCTTGCCGTTCGATTCTCCGGTGGGCCTTGAAGTAGACATCGTCATCCAATGGATCTTTTGGTGGTTTCCTACTATTATTTGTTGATGGCCGTAGGTCAAGTATTTGGGCATCATGCAACTCAAGAAGTGGGTTGTCCATTCCTGATTGCACGACTTCGTCATCTATTAGATTTCTTTTGTGTTGCTGTTTTCCTCTAAGTTTGGCCGCTGATACATTTGTCGGCGGAGGATCAAGTGTGATGGGCTGGGTGAGATCATCGATGAGAAAGACTGTGGTGTCTGCCGATAGGAACTCTGTCAAAAGTTAGCAAATAGACAGCAAATAAGATATGCAGGCAGAGCAAAACCAGTGACGTTTTACAGGACCGCGAAGCAAAAACATAACAGACTCAAATCACACAGAAAAGAAAAAAAAAAGGTCAAGAAAAAACTCACCAGGCTTCACAGGCTCCAAGCTAAGAATCTGCTCGTAATTCTGAAAATATAACGCCAGTTCACTCTTCGACCTCGACCCTCCATCGTGAGACCGTAACGACCTCCTCTCCCGACCAACAACAGTAGTCGAAGGAGGAGTCCCATCCTTCAACAAGTGATCATTACGCGTAGCAACCTCTCCACCACCAATACGCCGATCAGCCCCAAACGCAGACGCATGCGCGCTCCTCCTGAGGCTACTAACATTCCCTCCGTCATTTTTACGCTGATTATCATTACCATCATCATGATCATCCGCGATCGCTAGCCCATCAGGCTTCTCCACATCCTCACTCACTACCACGGGAGGACGATGGTGACTATGTGCGGATCTGCGCGTTGTTCGAGGAATGG